CAAGACCACATTCAAACAAACATATCTGACTTTCTGTGGGTCCTAGCTAATGAGTGTCAATTAGAAAGTTGTCCGGCTCGAGGAGTACAATATACATACCGATTTTGTAACTGTAGATAAAACTAACAACCCACTTTTGTCAAAAGGTGGCGCTACTGAGCCCTCACCACGCCCGTTTCTGAAACTTTGCACGTGTCTACTGGCTAATAAATGTGATGTGTCTGTCGAGTTTCATGCAATTTCAAGCATGCTAAGGGTCTCAAAAGCATCCTAAAAGAATGGTAACGTTTGATGCGTCGCCACGGCAACAGTTTCAAAGATATCAAGAATCCATTCACAGGTCTACATCTGCCGTATGTTTACATTATACAGATGACGTTTGAAGCAAATCGGGTAAAAAAAAAGGGTGATATCAAAGCATTTTGAAAGTGACACACTTCCTGCTGCCAGTTGGTGGCGCTATAACTTTGACTCACAATAGTCACATCCATGTGATCGTCCTCTTACAGCGAACACACTGCTGAAGTTTCATCAAGATCAGTTAATGTATGCTGAAGTTATAACACACTTCCTGGTTCACGTTTCTCGCCATGATTTCGTTTCCTCGCCACGGCCAAACCGTTCGAGATATCAAAAATCCCCTCGCAAACTTTCATCCTCAATGTCTTGACTTCATGCTGACCGAGTTTGTCGAATTGGATCAAAGCTCTAGGAGGAGTATTTAACATTCCATTGCGAGCGTTTTACAAACAAACCTCAATAGCCGACTTCCTGTTGGGCTGGGGTAAAAAGTAAAAGCGCGAGGTATAGATGAAACTATGAGATCAACATGTGCACAGAGTTTCATATTATTACATGCAAGCGTGTTTGAGTTATGGACCAGTGTTCGGACCCCGTTCCAGGGGCGCTGACGAGCCGCCCTGCCACGCCCGGGTACCAGCTTCAGCCCGGCTCTGATGGCCGCGGGTTCTGACCCATGTGCAAAGTTTCAAGAGTTTTCGAGCACGTTAAGGGCCCCAAAATGCCCAAAAGGTTACAAAATAATAATAATATAGCTGCGAGCAGCGATTGCGGGCCCAAGCCGGTGGCACCGCAACCCCGATGCCTTTAGTTACCTAAAGGCACCGGATGGTGGTACCGCCGGCTTTGGCGCTTTATCGCTGCTCACATCTATATTTATATTTAATATAAAGCCGGTGGCACCGCCACCTTGGTGCCTTTAGGGTTATTCTGTACGACGTGTAAAAACGTAACCCCCCTTGACTATCGAAAAGAAGTGTATTGTAGAGCTTGCATCAATGTGGACTCGATGCGCTGTGCGCTGTAACTCCATGTTGGCTTTAAGCGCATCATTCTCCACCGGATGCGCATAAGCGTTTTGTGCCACACTGTACTGAGCCTTTCATATCATAATGCAGACAGTTATTAATTGCCTTCTTGTTTTGTCTATCTATTATATGTTGATAATGATAGGACAGAGCACTAAAACCTCAAACACACTAAAAACTTAAGCTGTTTAGCTGTGTAGTCGAGAATGAGCTGTTTGATTTGCACCCTCTTCCCTTTCACTGTCCTCCATAAAAACCAGCTATTCAGGTCCATGTTGTTCTAGAAAAGTTTGTATGTTTGCTGCTCTATTTAACATCTCTGCTATACATTTAAAAATGGCTTATCTAAATAATTTATCTTTTTGATTTTGTTATCTTGTTTTTCATGAATATTTTACAACAATACAAAGAGCAATGTGTATTTCCACTAATATAGTTTGTAATGGCTTTTTTGTCATAGATTATAATCATATATTTTGGATTTGTTATTTATCTTTATAATGAAGTTTCTGTATTAAGTAGATTGTGTTTAACACACAGTGATTTATTAGTTCAACACATAGTTATAGAAATTCTACTTTATCTAAAAAACCCTGCACTTTATACACACACACACACACACACACACACATAAATACTGTAAATAAAAATTAAAAAAAAAAATCAAATGTGTTTTTAGTCAGAGTATTATTTTATACAGAAACAAATATTTGTAATTCAGATAAGAATGAAGTTAGTGTTTTAAAAATCTTAAGGAAACAAATATATTGAAATATAGCACACAGAATTTTAAATTCATTCAGCTTCAATTACAAATACAATCTTACTTTTATTTAAACAAACTATACATTTAAAAGATGGGTTATATGCCTATTTTGTCATTTAAAAAAT